TAAATTATAGTGTGATACTATCCTTAGTCCTTAAGAATAGGTCAAGTCGCCTCTTAAAGGACTCCTGGGAAGTTGCTTGCACTAGCTCGCTCGGCAGCGAATTCCAGCATTTGACAACTCATAAGGAGTAGAAGTTGTGTCTACAGTCCGTCCTGCTATGTTGTGTCTCCAGTTTTTGGGTGTTACCTCTTAGGTTAGTTTTGGAACTAAGCTTAAGTAGGTGTTTGAGAGGATGTCCAGAAGTGTTAAGGATACTATAAGATATCAAAATATCACCTCTAAGACGTCTATACTCTAATGGGTAAAGGTTAAGTGAATAGAGGCGCTCTTCGTAAGCTCTAAATTTGAGTCCTCGAACTGATTTCGTGGCTCGCCGTTGGATACGCTCCAGGGTGTCCTTATCCTTTTGGAATGAGGGGGAAATACTATGTTTCCGTACTCTAAATGGGGACGGATAAAACTATTAAAGATTATACGGAAAGTCCTTCCGTCAAACTGTCCAAAAATGCGTTTCAATGTTACCAGTGCAAGGTTTGCTCGGAAGGCATTTTTGTTAAAGTTAGCGTAAGACTTTAAATCGTAGGGCACCAGGACTCCTCAATCTTTTTCGACTTGGGATACTACTAGAGAGGAGTTACCTAAGTTATAACTGTAGTCTGCGACATGTCGCAGATGGACTACTTTACACTTTGAAGTGTTAAAGGTAAGTCCGTTGTCATCTGCCCAACTTTGAAGTCGGGTCAGATCCTCCTGAAGTGCCTGTATATCGTCTTGGTTACGTATATCTCTCCAAAGTTTCACGTCGTCGGCAGAAAGTAATAAGTCTGACGTTACCTGTTGAGGAAGATCACTTATGTAGATCAAGAAGAGAAGAGGCCCTAGTACTGAGCCCTGGGGGACCCCACTAGGACATTCCATAGCCTGCGATAAAGTGAAATTAACCCTAACCTTAAAATGTCGATTTTTCAGGTATGAAATGAGCCAATCGATTAGAGGTGGTCTGATATCCAATCGTATGAGCTTATTGATAAGACATGTATGGTTAACCTTATCAAAAGCTTTTGAGAAATCTAGGTAGATGATATCAACCTCCCGCTTGTGATCAAGGATGCTTGTCCATCTGTCCACCGCAGTCAGCAGGTTGGTAATACAAGAATAACCCTTCCTGAAACCATGCTGTTAGGGTGAGAAGAAATTTAAGAACAGTAAATAGTCATTTATATCATCGCATATCAGGTACTCCATGACTTTTGAGGGTATGGAGGGAAGAGCCACCGGTCGGTAACTTGAAGGTTCGCTGCGTCGACCTCCTTTGAAAATTGGTGTGATGTGAACCAGCCTCCAATTTTCCGGTAGTCTTCTTCGATTTAGCGAGTGTGAGAACATCACGCTAAGCGGCGTTGCCAAGATTGAGGCTGCTTCCCTTAGTATGGCGGAATGGACCATGTCCGGGCCAGGAGAAGTGTCTAATCTCAAGTGCTACAGTTTCCGGAACACCAAGTCAGCGCTTAGGTTCACTTCGGAAAGTCCTGTGGGATTGCAGATGAAACTGTCATCAGCAAAGTTAATGTCGGTCAGTTGAAATGTCTGGGAGTAATGTTCAGCCAGAAGGTTAGCGGCGTCGCCGTCGTTGTTAGTCGGGCCGTTAAGACCTACCAGTTGGGAAACTCCAGTTTTGGCTTGACGAAGAGAGGCTGCATAACGGAATAAGCTTTTAGGATTGGAGGCGAATTTGTCCATAAGCTTTGTCTGGTACTGAAGCCTATCTTCTCTTATAGCCTTCGTGCATATGTCCCTGATATTTTTATATTGCCTGTACGCTCCGTCGTTGCCAGTTCGTTTGTATTCCACCCAACAGTGCCTTTTGCGGCTTAGCAGGCGAAGGGTACGGTTCTTTATTATTGTAGGTGGCTTGCAGCTTTTGGGAACCGTTTGAGGAACTGAATGGTTTGTAGAACGTAAGAGCGTGTGCAGTACGAAGTCCCAATGACCGTCCACATCGAGTTGGGGGTGAACATCCCAAACCACCTGTTGTAGACAGTCGTGTAGAGCTGGCACATTTAACCGTTTAAAATTCCAACGCAAGTTATTGGTGGGGTATCTTAGATTAGTTTTGCTGACAAAACTGAAGGTTTTGACGGCATGATCGCTTTTTCCCAGGGGAGCCAGGATTGAGAGGTTGTCAACTAGAAATTCTTCGTTTGTGAATACACAGTCCAAGCGCGATGGTGTCTGACTGTTTCTCCAACGAGTTGCCGACCTCACGTTTTCGAACAATCCCAAGTCATCGATGAGGTTGAAGAACCGAGCTTCAATTGAGTTGTCGCCTCCAGTGTACGTGTGTTCCGCGAAGTTTAGACTTCTTTTTCATTAATGATGTGATTATATATGCGACTCGTAAACGTGCCCCATTATCTAGCTCGGATCACTGTATAATTCGTGTTCTACCTACAGTATATGGAGAGCATGGGAAGAGTACACTCTTACATCAAACCAAGAAAGTCAAATATAGGAATTACTCAGAAGAAAATATCCGAAATTGAAAAACATGTTTCATACGACTAACTGGGAATTATTTACAGATGACTCACTGGAAAACACTACTGACGTTATCACTTGTTACCTTAAATTCTGTTCTGACATTTGTTGTCCCACCGAAACCATTTTTGTAAGTTTTGATCGACTTACATCTACACAACTGAAACGACTACGGAGGATGAAAGAAAGAATGTACAAGGAGAAGAACTCTAATGAAGTTAGTAAGCTAAATGGTCTGATAAACCTAGAGATTAGACGCCTCAACTGTATGTTTACTTAAAAACTCTTGTCTTGCAAAAACTCTCCAAGTATGTGGAAAATCTTTAAAGAACTTACAGGTGACGGACAGTTTAGAAGCGATAACCAGCTGAATGTTTGTGACTTAAATAAGTCTTTTGTACGTCAGTCATCTGATGTGATGCTCCCTCTATCCACGGGTTTAAATAATAGCTGTGTTCCTACTTTCACTGAGACTGATGTATGAAGATGTCTCCAGTGGCTTAATTCATCTCGATGTTTGGGACCTGATGGTATCCCAAACATCCTTTTTAAAAAGTTCTGACGTCCTATGTTATCCGTTCACAGCTATCTTTAACAGATCCTTCCCATCTAATCTCATACCAAAAATGTGGAGAAAGATGAAGATAATTCCTGCACCCAAGAAAGCATCTAGTGATAAGAATGTAAAATTTAGACCTATTGCAATAACTTCACCCTTCCTCAAAACAATGGAAAAATTATTAATACCTCCACTTCAGCCTGCGATAAAAGAGCATATTGATCAGTATCAGTTTGCTTACAGACGCAAAAGAAGCACCTTAGATGCTGTTGCTGTTCTGCATCACAATATAGTGTTCAACTTAGAAAAGGGTAAGAAGTATGTTCGATGCGCTTTTCTGGACTATACTTCAGCTTTTGGTTCTGTACCAAGACAATGTTTAATTAACAAGTTAGTCAGCGTCATCACTGACAGCTGGATAACCAACTGGCTATGTTCCTACCTCTCTGGAAGGAAACAGTACACTGTGTTTGGAGGAAAGTGTTCAGAGTCTCTGCTGTCTCATGAAGGTGTGCCACAAGGAGCTGTTCTTTCACCTCTTCTTTTCTCTTATTTTCTGCATGATCTGCCATCTTCCACAGAAGACACTTTTTTTGAAATATGCGGATGATCTTACTGTATGTATGCCTATCTCTTCCTCTTTACATCCCATAGAAATGAATGAGTTATTGTCTCGTATTGATTGTTGGTCTGTTGGTAATGGTGTCATACTTAATCCGTCTAAATGTCAAGCTGTTAACTTTAGCATGAGACATGAACACCATCTAAACACCATTTTGAGATCCCATAATGCTTCTACCATCGGAGACTCTTTGATAAACACAGTGTCGAGGTTCAATTATCTTGGTGTCACTTTTTCCTCTGATCTCTCTTGGTCTTCCCACGTTTTATTGTTATCAAAGAAGGTTTTCCGTCTGACCTACTACATAAAGAGATTGCATGCTCTTGGGATTACTCGTCATTTACTCTTACAATGTGTCAATTCTTGCATATTACCTATTATTCCTTACTGTTCTCTATTATTCTTTCCCGGGCTTTTGAGGAAAGACTTTGCTGTACTGCGGAGAGTGCTGAAGGCAGTTAGCAAGATGTGTGGTAAATCTTTCGAGATCATAATTAATATGAATGTGGATAGACATTTAAAATCATGCAAACTCCTGGCAGGTGTTATTTTATCAGATACTAGCCATCCCCTTCACTCTTATCTTTCTCCTTGTATATCTTCTGGTAGAACGAGACGTAATTACATTCAAATCCATACACGCAAGCAAAAGTATAAAAGTTCTATAATACCTTACCTGGCAAATATACACTGTGACAAACAGGTTGTTAGAGTTAACCTAGTCAATAACTTACATTCTTAACATGTCCTTAATTTTAAAAGTACAGTTTTTCGGTTTTTTTCTTTTTTTCCTTTTTTTAAAAAAATCTCTTTTTTTGTATTCGTTACTGTGTTTTTTTCTTTTGTTGTTGCGTAAGTAACTTGTTGAAATAACCTGTGCTGAGAATTCTATATTGTACCAAAACTATAATATTGAATAAAGCCACTAATAATAATAATAACAGCGTCGGATACCGGCTCAGTGGTCTAATGGTTAAGCGTTGGCGCGCGAGACTGGTAGGTCCTGGGTTCGAATCTCACAGGGTGGAGTCGTGGATGTGCACTGCTGAGGAGTCCCATACTAGGACGAGACGGCCGTGCAGTGCTTGCAGGTTTTTCATGGTGGTCTAGCTTCAATTGACTCATGATTTCAACTACTGTAAGTGTATTTGTTAATCAAAAAGGAATAAATCACTGTTCGTAACTCTGTAAGACATCATTTTTATAGTTGAATATTCTAATGAATTCCCTAGGCTATCGAGCACAAAGTCTTGAAGTGAGTCAAGTTAAAAAAGTAAGCTATTTCGTTTATAAAACTTTATTTGCTTCTATAGTCAAAAATTATCACAGTGCAAAAGCAGGGATCAATACAATTTATGAAACAGAAAAAAAGTGGAGACAAAAATGGTATATACACAACAATATCTAGAGCACACAACAGTTGAGTCAATGAAACTTACTCTTGTTCATAAAAAAATTGTACACGTTTATAATTGGCGAATAGACTAAGCATAATCATATCAGGCTCAGACCGAGTTCATATAGTGGCAGTTTATTAATGCCAATGGTAGATCCGTTGATTGTTCACATTTGACACATTTCTCTGGTTCTTCTATTTATTTAAGATAAAGCACTTATTCGTCACTGATCTTTATAAAATTAGTCAAGTAATTCAAAGGTATCTTCTGATAGATAGAACTATGGCCCTATATCATAACAAAAATTTCCAACAGCGCATATCCGTCTCTGGATTTAGGGGATGGATACTCTTTCATATTGACATCTGAATTGGTGAATGTTATTACTTTTAGGGTTACAGATAGGCTTTGTTGAAGAGTATCATTAGTTTTATTTGTTTAGTAAACATGCCAAATTGTACCACAAAATCTCACTTCGTTTAATAGTTGAATTATAGATTCTGACCATGATTTACATTTATTAGCTTGTATTACTTTTTAGATTGATGAAATAACTAAAAGATAAAATGTATACAACCCTTACAAATCTGAACTCATTTTGTATATTACTGAAGAGATTTACTCGAATACAAAGCATACATACAGTTTCATCAGATATTAACCATGCTGCAAGTGATTAGTTCGTATTGACAGCAAGTAGTATAATTGTAGCATAAAAATAAGATAATCAATTCCGATAAGTTCTTGATAGTTAAACAATTCAGTCAGTTAATTCAGCTCTGTTCCTTCTTATAGTCAAAACTAGTAAGCTGATGAGGACAAATACGATGCAATTGATTTCTTCTAAATAAAGATTACCTATGTCATACAAAGTGTTCTGGTTTGTTCTCACTAATGAATACAAAGTTATTTAAACAAAGGAAAACTATCCAATAGTCAAAATACTGAGATTAGTGAGTCTCTCCTGTTTAAATATATATTCTATATTCAAGTAGTACTCTCATATCCAAGTATCCATATGAACTATTGACAGCAATTATTATAACTGATTGAACTTATTTTTCAATCATCAGTTTACATACTTTACTTAGTGTACCGGTTATCAAGAATGAAGTAGAGAGAGAGAGAGAGAGAGAGAGTTAAGACTATTTCTGTGCACGGCAACCACTTCACAGATTTATTAAGAAAACAAAGGCTTAGAATATTGTAGTTTTTCGGTTGCTATGTTAAGCTCACATAACTTATTCTGGCTTCTGGACAAGTCAATTCATTCATTTTTCATGAATCACATTTGGACAGCAGTGATTCGATAACAATCAGAAACGATCAACTTGGAATCAGATTAAGGGCCATTAAAATACTAACTGTGGATTTTCCAATTTATAAATTTTATTGAATCAGGGCCAAGGAAGAATGAGAGGTTGGATTAAGGCATTGGTAATCCACGAACTCAAGCCCGAACTTTGTGTGCAGAAACTATTCGTCCAACCTTTCATCCTTTCTTGGCCCTAATTCCCTTTATTGTTGCCTTAGGCTCTATACTTGAAATAATAATAATCCTTTTGGCTACTCTTTTATCGAACCATTTAAAAGCGAATAAATTCATCATATAAATTGTTTATTCACAGTGAATAGTTAGTTAAGCATCATACATCATGTACGTCAATCTGAAGAACTAATGCATCTATGAAAAAAAAAAATAAACCTGAAAATAATTGAAATAAATTATCAAGAAATAATGCCGTTGATAAATGAATGAGCTGGTTGTTATCCTATTCATTTGAACTATTCTGTTGATTTTGACAAATGAATATGCTAAGTATCTACCTACCTTTGTTTGAGTTCTCAGAGAATTTGATGACAGAGAATGGGATTCAGTGTTCAAAATTCGATTTGGTTTTAGCTTGTCTAGCTGATCACAAGTTTCTTTTGCAAGGTGTAAGTAGGTTTCATCCACCTGATAAACAAATGATATTAAACGGTGAGAATAGATTGTGTGGAACCTTTGAGTAATTCGTCTGATGTAATAAAAAAAGTTATTTCCGCTTGACATTGAAAGAATTGCAGCTTTCAAAAGTTACAGTATCTGAAAACGTTCAATAAGTTTTTCTTTGAGATGAAATTGTAGTCGCTGATACTATGTCAAGCCCACATAGGTTATTCTAGCCTCTAAAAAGACCAATTTATTCATTCTTCTCAAGCTACATATTTTGACCTTGTTGATTATCCGCTTATTAACCCTGACTGTTTTTATATGATCTTATGTGTGTTAATTGCTTGTCTTATTCATTACGTGTCTGTAATTTATTTATGTTTGAATATGAATATTGAGTCACACTTGATCAGAACGAGTTGGTTCACTTTCCTCTTGCACTGCGCATCCCTTTGTTTCGTCTCACTTCTCTTCCTTCACTTCGTTTCTCTGATTATTTGTCTGGATCAATGAGTGTATGAAATATACGTATTTAAAACTGATTCTTGTATTTGGCTTATTTTATTCCGTTATTCTCCAAAGTGAATTAAGTCAGTAATTATGTAAGAGGATAGTTGTTATGTGTATTTTGATAACGATTAGCATATGATTTTATTGTGGACCGCGGGGTGGCTACTCTAATTTCTACCGACTGACGAAATTCAGATATCCCAGTACGACCCCAATATTATTCCCCAATCTCTAATATACCAGGACACGAACCGTAGATAAAATTGTTTATGGGGTCAGGAGAAGAATAAGAATAGGAATAGGAATAATACTTTACAGACAAATGCATATTTATACAGTTAGGACTACCGTGAATATTGACCAACAGGGAAATGACACGTGAAATAAATATTGGCCAATAGGAAAATGAAACCATTTCACGTTCAAGGATAGCGTTAGAATTAACAAGATAATATTTGGGATATTTTTCTGAATATTCCAACAGATTTAACTGAAGTCAAATATTCGGCCACTAAACAGAAAGAAAAAACTATAGGACAAGTTGTTTATTATCAAACATAAAACTGGTTCTCAAATTTCTATGTTTTATATAAACAAAAATTTGTTGACTAAAGATTGAATGGGGTTTGACTGTTTGGTACTGTGAATAGCACCCCGTCTTCATATTCCCTTTTGCTTTAAACTAGAAAGCATAAATTATAATGTTTATCACTTTCATTTTATAAATCAAATTGCTATTCACTTTCGATAGACGAACTTGATAAACGTGAATTTTCAAAATACTTGGTAATGAAAGATATTTCACATTTAAGTTGTAACTGAATTCAGTTTAGATATTTTCATCTTCTGACTTCTGATTACTATAGATCGTAGGTCTGAACATACACAAAGAGAAAAGCAAAATTCTTCGATACAACACAACATGCACCAATCGAATCACACTTGACGGAGAAGATTTGGAAGATGTAAGAACCTTCACATATCTGGGCAGTATCATTGATGAACACGGCGAATCTGATGCACAGGGGAAGACGCGGATCGGCAAAGAAAGACCAGCATATTTACAACTGAAGAACATCTGGAACTCAAAACAACTATCTGTCAACCATCATCAAGGCCAGGATTTTCAATCCAAATGTCAAGACAGTTCTACTGTATGTGGCGGAAACTTGGAGAACTACGAAGGCCATCATTCAGAAGATACAAGTGATTATTAACAGTTGTCTACGCAAAATAATCCGGATCCGTTGGCCAGACACTATCAGTAACAACCTACTGTGGGAGAGAACAAACCAGATTCTAGCGGAGAAGGAAATCAGGAAGAAGAAGAAGAAGCGGTGGAAGTGGATAAAACACACATTGAAGAAATCACCGAACTGTGTCACAAGGTAAGGCCTCACATGGAATTCTGAAGGGGAAAGGAGAAGTGGAAGACCAAAGAACACAATACGTCGAGAAATGGAGACAGACATGAGAAGAATGAACAAGAATTGTATAGAACTGTAAAGGAGGGTGAAGGATAGAGTGGGTTGGAGAATTCTGGTCGTGGCCTATGCTTGATTGGGAGTAACAGGTGTAAGTAAGTAAGTAATAAATCGTATAGAACAAAGTATGCACATCTATTGATTTCAACAACATTTATTCAGTCTTCAGTTCATTTTCAAGCTACTTATGTTTCAAATTCATGTCAACAAATATATTACATAATAATTGTGAAATTGCTTACTTCATTTGAGCTTTTGTCTGATGACATTTGTTTCACATTTGACATTTGATTGGATGATTTATTACCATTATCAATAACTTCATATACTCCTTCTATATAAGTTGAATTCAATGCTTGCGGTATAGGAATAAGCTTCAATGTATATTTAAACTGAAATGTTTATAAAACATTTACCTGTAGAGAAAGTAACTATCTTATCTCTAGTTTAATATTAAGAGAAAATTACAATGGTCAAGAGATAAAAAAGAAAAACCACTTTTATATCTTTTTCTTTTTCATTTTTCATAAAAATAATAAAAAGAAAACTGAATTTTGATTCGATTATAGGTTGTCAATTTATGGGTCAGACTGTGGTGTATGCTACTGATGTCGACAGATATAAGTAGTATGTATCATCAATAGAAAGTGAAATGTATGGCCGATCGAAGAAAAGAGAGTGAGAACAGAGAATGATTGGTATGGAAACGAAGAGATAATAAAGTTTGAGACGACTGACTGATGTTTTGCAAATGAAGTATTCACTACTCTATGGTTCTCAGATTTTACTAAGAGATTCTGTAATTTTGTGCTCAAATACATTTGATTGCCCACACTTCTGTTCTCGTTCACTACAGTACTAGTTGAGTAAATGATCAAATTCACACTTCACTAACATAATGTAACATATTAATTAGACGAAATAAAACTGAATTAAGTTGTATGTGGACTGTTTACAGTCAACAGCTTTTTGTTATTCTATGTAAAAGTTTTACAAATCAGAATTTAGATTGTTACAGGTTATTCATAGGATGTTAATACAACCATATTTAAAGGATTTAATACACTAATAATCACATCAATTCATTGTGATCTTATTTAAATGATATCATCAAAAAGAATAAATAAAACGGATACACAATGGTTGGTATATTTTTTATTAGTTTTACTAAGCGTTAAAAATCAATACAATCCTTACAACAGGTTGATCACTGGGTGGTGATCAGTGTTATATATGTCAGGTCTTTCTTAGTGTACATCGAATACTATCGGCCAAGTTGCAATGTGGTCACTAGCCTAGGTGATTCGATATTGAATGCACTATGTTGGGATAAGATGGTGGTTGAAGATAGTCAACAGGAAGTACTGGGTTTAGATTTCGTGATACTTGGCATTTGATCTAGTCATTCGCGGCTCAGATAGCTCAGTGGTAACGTCTCTGACTGAGCATCAGTTCCCTCGAGATTACAAGTACATTTTACTGACGAGCACCAAGTGGTACGAAACCTAGGTCCAGGGTTTCCTGTTGAATACCTCCAACCATTATCGTATATCAATACAGTCCGGAATGAATATAGTGATTCTTGTTAATTAAATAAACCGTAGATATTCAGTGCCGAGGAGTCCCATACTAGGACGAAACAGCCATCCAGTACTTCCAGGTTGTCAATGATGGTCTAGTATAAATCTACTCGCGAATTCAACCGTTAAAATAATACAATCTCCATAAATTTCCATACTGATAGATAAAATGTGTTTACATTTACTACTTTTTAAAAATTAAAATGTTCAAAACATCAACTTATCATAGCATTGTGAAATACTTGACATTAACATCGAAGAAGTGGTAGTCAGGCAGTATCATACCCTAATTGTTAATAAGTAACTTTATTTAGTCTGAATTCAGCTGTTTGAAAATTCACAGTTCATACAATAAAAAAGAGTAGTTTGTAATTGATGTTATGTAAGTCATTAATGTTAGATCTGAGTTCTTCCTTAACTAGGATGAGAAAAAAACTCAATACACGATCCTAACCAGTAGTATGTAAAATCTAACATTTGATCAGTAATTTATAATCTATTTGCATCAAATGTACTTTTTTATTCATTTCTGTTAATTTTTAATATTAAGAGTTCAAATATGAATATACAATACTCATGGAATTAAGAACGATTGATCTACTCTAATATGATCGGTTCGACTGTGTAGAAAGGTAATGGGAACTGGCTAACATAAGGGAAAGATGAATTATGGGAAATCTTGATATTCTAAGTAGAGCAAACAGAACATAACGAAATGTGACAGATTCGTATACATAGTAACGAAAACATGGTCTTCAAGTGTGAGGAAATTTAACGAACTAGAAATAATATTAACCAATTGAAAAACGGAAAAATTTATGTGAGTAATTTGATTCGTACAGAAAGACACTTTCGGTTATTGTTTCTAATAAGATTTTAGTAAAATTTGAGTAATCTTATAAGCGATTGAAGCTAGACCACCATGGAAAACCTGAAAGCACTGGACGGCCGTTTCGTCCTATTATGAGACAATGGTGGGCGGTGGCACAATTTCGTGGATTGGTTAAAGTTAGATGTCAGTTTAGTGGTCTAGATGTTAAGCGTTCACATGCGAGACCGATAGGTCCTGGGTTTGAATCCCACGGAGCAGGGACGTGGATGTGCACTGCTGAGTAGTCCCATACTAGGACGAAACAGCCATCCAGTACTTCCAGGTTTTCCATGATGGTCTATCTACAATCGACCCATGAATTCAACTAGTGAATTACTAAAATCTCCACAAAAACCTCTTCTGATAATCTTATAATCATCTAAGTTCCCTCTTTATTAATTCACTAAGTTCAGTCAATTTCTTCTCCTTTTTTTTCACGGTTTTGAAATATGGCAACTTTTCTGTATGGTCTTGGTGCCACTTTGTACATGTTATCATATTTTTCTTAATCTTCCCATCTGACTATTGAACTGATCATACTATACTTATTATAATTAACTAAATAGTAGTAAATTCTAATAATTAAAAACTTGACTTTTTGAGTGAAATTAAACAACACAATTTTTTACTTGTAATGAATAATAATAACACCCTTAATATCAATTAATAATAATAATAATAATAATAATAATAATAATAATAATTACTGGTTTCGGGGAACTTGAACTGGTAAGAATACTTAATCTGACATTGATATTAGTAAGTTTTGATGAATCAGAAGATGGAGATTGTTCATTGCGGAAATAGTTCGAACGATGATCAGTCTGAGAATTTGAACCAGCTATTTGAGTGTTTTCGTGATTAGAGTCGTTTGATACTGATAAGTTTATAATCGTTTCTTCTGTAAGCAAAAAATAAACAACTGATAACAACTACGTATATATATGTTGTAGAAACGAAAGGGTTATATGCTCGCTATTTAGATGTATTAGTTATATCAGAGAATATAACTATAGTGAACGACTAGCATGTAGGGAGTAAAGTCTCCATTTAATTGTTCCATCAAGATCTTCGTCATTTCTTCTAAATTGTATTGAATAACAGTCGAAATAATATAAAAAAAGGCTACTTATGATTACGTTACTTGGAAAAGTAATCAATTCGCGCTATGTAAAATAGAGGGATTGGTTTTAATTTGAGCATAAACAGTATCTTCATTACGTGATAAACTTATCCCTCTTTGGTGAATACAGTTTTTAAATACTGAGGAATTTCCATAGATTAAATAGCAAGCTGACCCGAGCTACATCATCATTAAAGACCAGGAAGCACTGAACAAATATCTCAACCTATATGTGACTTCTCAATAGAGCTTACTCACCAGAAGCCTTGACCAGATCTATTCAATCATGTAATGTATGAGACAGTTATCCACCGCAAGCAATAGGAGATGATTATGCAATATTACGATGAGCTATCACTGGTCAAATTCTCAATTGTAGTTTTCTTTAATTCTTATTCAATTTTCACCAAACATTTTATTTTAACCTGACTGCTCTATGGATTTATTAAAAAATATGAAAACTTTCAGAAAATATTTACTGATATCATTTAATAGTCCCAGAGTGAACATCAATTCTGAGATGCAGGTACATCCAGCTGACGAGTCCCGAATAGGACGAAACGCTCTTCCTGGATTCCACTGCTAGCCACTGTCCGTCTTTGCTTATTTAATAGTTATGTTTATTTTTTATCAATAGGCTACGATAACCGATATTATCATTGCTATATCAGAACGAAGATTGAAGGAATGGTAACTCCCAGGATTAATTTATGAATTATTACTGTTATTATATTCTTATTGTATAATTATTAAGAGACTAGACTAATATGTATATATCCCCTTTGTCATAAGCTTTCGGTTGACCTATTTACTAATGTTATACGTTTTACTTTTCCTAATTTATTCCCAGTCAATTTTTTACAGTCTCTCCTATTCACACCCATTTTTGGCCTGTTTATGAATGATTGTTATTTTTTTAAATATTGTGAAGCGGTCTGGTCTGTCTGTAGATAAACTACGTCTGTTTGAAATATAATATAGAGTAGAGACTAGTTGCTGACTTCTAGGTCCAAAGTTTTAGTCATGAAGAGCTAAAGAGTCTTGGAGCAATAGTAACTTAGCCGTCGATTCAGGGTTAATAGTTCTGATCGGGCGTGTACTTGACCAAGCCAGAGATACTAAATCGCAGGAGTAAGTTACGTTAGCAAAATAGATCAGATTAGTATCAGGATTCTGAATGGAGATTTTTCAGGTGATTTTGGGCATTGGTCACAAAGCATATCAATTATTACTCCGATATTTATCGGTAAAGGTATAACATACTGATGGCATTGAGTTAACCAATCATAAATGAGACAACACCCTCTGTATTTCGCGCGAATTTTCACATACAGTGATAGATAACATGTGTGTTATCATTAATCCAGTAAAAATTGGCATTATTTGTTTCTTAAAGTGATTGAAGTCAATGAAAATATCTATTATGAAACCAAAAAGCGAATTTTAAATGGTACCTAAGCTAAATTATATAACATACTTGCTCTGAAGTCAGATTGTCTGTTAAAGTACTTGATGTCGTTCATTGTGTAATTAAGTAATGAATGAAACTTGATTGTGTTCTCCTTTTCTTACTCTAACTCTAAATCTCAACCCTAAGTCACTCAAGTTTATAAACAGAAAGATGACAAAGGACTGCATTATAGACGATGTTAGCTCATGAGGAAAGCCCTGACCCTTATTTGTAAACTTGACTCAGAACTCCAGTTTAAATCTCAATGCTTAAATCTAACCTGTTTACGTTGGAAATGATGTCAGTTGCTGGAAAAAAAACTTTAAGGGGTGACAACCTCAACTCATAACACTATCCCAACTCCTGATATGTGTGCATACATGTAAACATACCCTTCTTTCTTTACAAGAACGGCTTATGAGGGTTCATTACTATGATCAAAGTCTTTGTTCCACTATTAATTCATCACTTTTCATTGTTAATTATTTTATAACTAGGCAACGTTTACTGATTGGCTGCTAAGTTGTCCAAGGTCGTCGGTATATTATACCTTTACATTGATATCAACTTACCACATGATTCAATATGTGTGTTGGTATTCTTGTGATCATTTGCCACATCACCAGAAGGTGCTTCATTTTGTTTAGAATTTTCGAATATAACCATTTAGATCTATGGAATAAAATAACCGAATGATTATAATATATATGAACTGTTCACTCATTTTTGCATATTATTACATTCCTTAAAAGTTATAATTTCTCACGAAAATAAGTAAGAACTTGATAGTTTGTCCCATATATTCTTTAATTACTTTAGACAGCGTATTCGAATAATAACAATAAGTCAATTTATGAAATTCAATCGAATAGTGCACGAGTCAATTGATTATTAAGCTGTAGATATCTGATCTGTTAACATCTTAGTGACAATCATTGTCATTACTACTATTGATGCTACTGCTACAGTAGTGTAAGGGGACTCAAATGCAAGATTACACAGTGGCTTAGTAACATGAAAATCATACGTTAAATACACTATTTTCTCATCTTCTTTCTTTTTTGTCCTTTACAAGCACCATTATTCTTCCAATTCTTTTGTTATTTTAATTGCTCTCCTGTTTCCTTTCTGTTCTCTTCAATCCCATATTCTACTGTCAGGCATTCCACTCCCGGTTGAGGCTACATACTACTTGTATCTGTCAGCATAAAGGAAATCCACCACAATACAACAACAACAACTACTACTACTACTTCGGAGTGTGGTACTAATGTCGACAGATTTGAGTAGTACTTTTCACCAATCGAAAGTGGAATGCCTGATTGAGAAAATCGAAGAGAAGAGAACGAGGACAGAGAATGATTGGTATGAAAACGAAAGGACAACAAAGTCTGAGACAACTGATGAATATTTTGCAAATGAAGTATTGCTGTATGGTTCCCAGATTTTACGAATAAGTGACTTTTTTCGCTTCTTCTAATCGATCTGAACTCTACCAATGAGACATTTTATCAGTATAAATTAATGCCTAACGGTTGTCCGAAGAAGGATTGTCAGTGATTGGCGTTCGGATTAGAATTCTTATTTTAATTATAATAAAGAATCTCAAAAATTACCTGTAGATTTCTTATTATAGAGTTGGATTTTTTGTATAGTCATTCAATGTCTTTATATAAGTAGCTACATTCTCCATCTCATCTATTTACATCTACTAGTTAAAATGGCTAATTTCATTGATCATAAGTTTATCTAAATAAATAAATATTTATGATTACTATACGGAGGTGAAGGTTTTCTATTAGAATGGAGATTCACTATGAATGGTTTGGCATTACTTTATCAAGTTTTACTGTCTATTTATATGCCAAACAATTTAATCGAATTCATTGATATTAGTAGTTGCTTTTCAGTGTTCTCAGGAGCCCCTGTCATTCGGTTGGTGTAATGCATATCGCGATTGCTAGTAATAATGGGTCTGACAGTCACGTTATTGGAATAGGTTAAAATTGACCTGTTCGTACTGTACATAGTTAATTGACGCTATTATTGACCGGAAATAATGTATGTTTATGTAAATATAGATGGATATATACAGTGCAAACGGTCCACTGTGGTTCTGGGAAGCTGTGTAGTTGAGCCACAGAAGTGAATTGTGCTGTTTAGTTGGTGGTATTAAGGCATGGATAATGTCTGGTTTTCCTGAAAACCGATGTAAAATCACTTTCATCCACGATGGTATATTCACATAATGGTAATGACAATAATAATGATAATAATCAGTATAGTATGCTGATAATTATCATGTGCTCACTAGTAATAAGCTTCGACAGGTAGTTCTCGGAGTTCGAGTGAGAAGCCGTGACTAGTGGAGTTCATCCGTTCCGGATATGATGTAGTTACCTACTGTAAGTAATCGATGAAGTTTTAAGCAAGATCATAGACTGATTGAAGTTAGACGTTAACACCGTTGGATGCCGGCTTAGAAGTCTAAAGGTTAAGCGTTTGTGTGCGGAACCGAAGGTTTCAGGTTCGAATCCTGCGTGTAGAGTTGTGGGTGGTTACTATTATATCAATATAATATATTAATATATTATTAACAATATATTAATATAATTAGATAAACAAGATCAAAAGTGTATTTGACTTACCAATTAAAATAAAAAATAAAGATTAAATGAAGTAGAAATCTTAAAGAGATTAAATTCTCCACTATTCACTGTAGTATAAATACTGAATTCATACTTAAATACATCCTTAGCTAAATTATAAACACCAATCAAATACAATCAGTTTATTTACTATAGTGATACGTTAACATTACATTAATCACTTGAATTTTATTTAGCCATTTTTTTTGAATATTCATATTGTCAACAATCATTTATTGTCCATAGGGTTATGTACTACATTCATAACTAAGTAGTCAATAGTAATGTGTGTAAGTGTTACATATCATACTGTAACTTGTATAAGTCAAGTATGTTTAAGACTAGTGTTCATAATCAATTGTTATATGTACTAATACTTATAGTAACAGTTTATTACACAAATTATAAAAAAATACACTTTTGATTGGATTAAATGTTGTTCATATGAACTTGTCTAACGTTTATATATGTGTAATGTTGCATACAGTGAACAGCTAAAATGCGGTTGGACGATCTACACACCGCAGATGATCTGGTTCTTCTATCGCACACTCAACAACAAATGCAGGAGAAGGCGACTGGTGTAGCAGCAGACTCAGCAGCAGTAGGTCTCAACATACACAAAAGGAAAAGCAAGATTCTCCGATACAACACAACATGCACCAATCGAATCACACTTGATGGTGAAGATTTGGAAGATGTAAACACTTTCGCATATCTGGGCAGTATCATTGATGAACATGGTAGATCCGATGCCGATGTGAAGGCGCGGATCGGCAAAGCAAGACCAGCATATCTACAACTGAAGAACATCTGGAACTCAAAACAACTGTCTGTCAACCAACACCAAAGTCAGAATTTTCAATACAAATGTCAAGACAGTTCTACTGTATGTGGCGGAAACTTGGAGAACTACGAAGGCCATCATCCAGGAGATACAAGTGTTTATTAATAGTTGTCTACGCAAAATAATGCGGATCCGTTAATCAGACACTATCAGTAACAACCTACTGTGGGAGAGAACAAACCAGATTCTAGCGGAGGAAGAAATCGTGAAGAAGAAGAGCTGGAAGTGGATAGGACGCACATTGAGGAAATCACCCAGTTGTGTCACAAGGCAAGCTCTCACATGGAATTCTGAAGGGGAAAGGAGAAGTGGAAGACAAAAGAACACAATACGTCGAGAAATGGAGACAGACATGAGAAGAATGAACAAGAATTGTATAGAACTGTAAAGGAGGGTGAAGGACAGAGGTGAGTTGGAGAATGCTGGTTGGCGGCCTATGCTTTATTGGGAGTAACAGGCGTAAGTAAGTAATATATAATGTTGTAGATCATGGTCATACACTTTTAACCGGATCCTAGTTTCATTGAAATTTAACAACCTCCACAATTTCATACTGATGAAAATTTTATGTTGTCTTTATTTGGAGAAAACAATCACGTGAAATTTCTCCTCGAACCTAAAAGGTGTAAATATTTCAGAACTAACATAAAGTACGAATACAACAGACAATGATGATGGAATAATGGGAACAAAACACTGAAGTTTACCTTCTATGCAAAGTAAATAACAGAATAGTTTATTGTTTGTAATGAATCAAGCCTAATGTTATAGATGAAGTTCTTGGATGAGTACTTTAGTATCAACCTCTTACAAACTTTAAAGGCAACTTATATATTTATTTATAAAACGAAAATTCAAAGAAATCCGCTGGAATTTTTTTACAATTTTTAGAAGTGAGATACTACTGAATGTGTTTTTTGGGCAATATATAATTTTTTAAAACTTAATCTGATATTGATTCGTGCTATTTTTCAGTTCAACATTTCTTCTTGGGTTTCAAGATAATTATCTGGCTTATTGGATGGGAAACTCACAGCTCTAGGGTTATCACTACATGCTCATCAATAAGGAATGAAAGAATAACAGCGAATGTCATCTAGTATTACAGAGTCATCAGTGATGGTAGTGAGAACGATATGGACCTGTTCTATGGGAGGCTTCATTTTATCCTAGGAAAAGGATTAACCATTCTGATTACGGGCCGAAACGCCAAGGTTTTAATAAACGACACTCGGAAAGAAAACGCTATGGGATGATATATACTAAAAAGAACAAAGATGGTGGCAACATAACCCATGGATTCAAGCAAAAGTATAAAATCCTGACAATAGTGTATCGAATATGTGACAAACAGGATGGAAAAGACAATGTTGTTAATTCACAGCTGTATAGATTCTTATTTTCTCACGAATATTTCATATAATTATGTACAATTTCATTTATTTATATAATGTTTTATATGAATGCGTACACATTTTTGTAGTGTATAAGAGCAGTTAAGTGGATTAATTAAAATATTGTATTGCTTGTTGAGAATTCCACACTATACTTTTCGTACAGTACTGAATAAAGTCACTGTTATTATTCGTTGTCATCAAAAGTATTATCTTCTCTGTTTCCAGTTTAGTAAACGTATGTGCGTATGGTATGGGGAGCATTTCAGTGTAATTATTTCAGCATCAAAAAGACATAAGCAGAATCACAGAAAGTCGAATATTCGTCCAAGATTTGGCGAACGTTATGTTTGTGTACAAATATGATTCTTTTGTACATTATTCTGCGGATGATTCAAATTCCAAATACAGTACCTTCAACTGTGCTCATAGAGTTCTCCCCGACTTGAGTACTGGTCCATACATAACTAACAGAGTACAAGTTGGACAGTTCTGGGTATTACTAGTTAGCATGCAGAGTTCTATTACTTCTGCTCCAGGATATGAAAAGCTATTTTATGTATTAAATATTTGTTTTCTTATATTCTTAGGAAAAAAAGGTTGCAAATCTCTGTCATCGCATCGCTACGAAACTTATTCGAGTCTTTGGGCATTTAAATTGTTCTAATCCTCCTATCTGCCCTACTGTCTATATATTCGCCTTTCTCAATCAATCAAGTGTAACATTGATCACGCTTTATACATTTGAGCATACAAGTGCATGTGTGACCGTAAACT